ATTTTCGGATTCACCCAGTCTGGGGTGGGGACAGAGAACCTGTATTTCTAACAGGCTCCCAGGTGATGCTGATGCTGGAGACACACTTTGAAGACCCTGGTTTAGAGGAACTCGGGTCTTCAAAGCTGATGCTCAGCCCCACCCCAGAAGCTTGTAGCCCACCCAGGGAGTGAGATAGCCTTGGGGAGAAGGGAGGGAGGAGGCAGGAGCTCCAGGTCCCATCTCAGCTGCCCGTCCACCAGCTCCTCTTCCAGGCTGTCCTTCTCCTGGTGTCTGCTCCCCCCTGGTGGCAGCAAGCCTGGAGCCGGCCTGGCGAGTCCAGCCTTGACAGATAATCCTTTCACATTTCAAAGCCTTCAAAGTTTACACATCCTTTCCCCTAGGGAATCCACTTCGAGGAATTTAATCCAAGAGAAGAATCACCGATACATACCAGGTGCGCACCGCATCGTTTGTTCGTAAGCAGGTAACATAGAAGACCAGGGCAGCCACTTGACGTGGTCGCACAGCTGGTAAAGAGTTCAGGCAGGATTTGATCTTAAGTCTGTCTGACTCAAGAGGCAGTGCCCTCACCTGCCACACCACACAGCCCCTCAGGGACCTCCTGCCTGCTGTGGGGAGCAGTGACTTCGAAGCCAAACTGCCTTGTGTTGAATGCTCATTGTATTACTTACTAGTTGTGTAACATCAGGCAAAAGCCACTTAACTGCTCTGTGCCTTGATGTTCCCCTCTGTGAAAGGGGGACATGATTGTAAAGGTCACCAAGCATCAGGTACTCTGTGAGCTGTTATTAGTATTACTTATCAAGCCCCCACCTTCCTTCTTTGCTTTCACCCTCCTTTCCTCTTCTTCTGTTTTTTGGTTTTTTGTTTGTTTGTTTTTTGGCTGCATGGCATGTGGGATCTTAGTTCCCTGACCAGGGATTGAACCGGTATCCCCAGCCTTGGAAGCGCGGAGCCTTAACAACTGGACCGCCAGGAAAGTCCCTCCTTTTCTCTTCTTAATTGGCTCAAAGCCTGTGGGTCACTGGGAGGGGCACACCCATCTGGATGGACTAGGGTGGAGGTGGAGAATCAAGGATAGAGCACTCACTGTAGCCAGGAGGTGGCAGACAAGGTGGAGCCGCCCACACTGCTCTGGGAACTGCCCAGCCAACCCTGCAGTCTGGGCAGAAGGGCACAGAGTTTAACACACGGATCCCTGGGTTACGTAGGCCTGGATCTACGTTCTATTTTTTTTAAAAAGATTTATTTATTTATTTATTATTTGTTTATTTTTGGCTGCATCGGGTCTTAGTTGCAGCACGCGGGATCTTCGTTTAGGCAGGCGGGATCTTTCCTTGCAGTGCGCGGACTCATCGTTGCGGCGCACGGGCTTCTCTCTAGTTGTGACGTGTGGGTTTTCTCTCTCTAGTCGTGGCGCACTGGCTCCAGGGCGTGTGGGCTCTGTAGTTGTGGCATGTGGGCTCCAGAGCACGTGGGCCCTATAGTTTTGCCGCACGCAGTCTCTCTAGTTGAGGCACGTGAGCTCAGTAGTGTGGCGTGCAGGCTTATTTTCCCCACGGCATGTGGGATCTTAGCTCCCTGACCAGGGATTGAACCCATGCCCCCTGCATTGGAAGGCACCTGCATTGGAAGGCGGATTCTTTACCATTGGACCACTAGGGAAGTCCCTGGATCTAAATTCTGAATCTTCTGTGTGACATGGGCAAGTAACATCTCTTCCTTGAGCCTCAACATTCTTATCTATAGAATGGGAGCAATAAAATTAGAGCAGTGGTTCCTAAAGTGTGGTCCCTCAGGCAGCAGCACCAGCAGCATGTGGGGACTCTTAGGAAATGCAAACTCTTTTTTTTTTTGGCCACACCTTGTGGCTTGTGGGATCTTAGTTCCTTGACCAGGGATCGAACCTGCGCCCTCGGCAGTGAAAACACAGAGTCCTAACCACTGGACCACCAGGGAATTCCCAGGAAATGCAAATTCTATCAAGCCCTCGTGGTGACTGTGATGCCTGCTGAAGTTTGACAACCACAGGATTAGAAGATTTGCTCCTTAGGCTTGTTGTGACTAGTACAGGAGAGAACACTCACTGGGCGTTTAGGTCAATAACCATGAGCTGCTATTATTATAGGCCTGCTCCTTCTTGGCCTCAGCTGATTGGGCCAGGAATATTCTTGCTCCAAGCTGGGCCAATCAGATCCCCTCTCCTGGGAACTGGGAATAGGAGACGTTAGTCTCTGGGTAACTTCCTTGAGGGGTAGGGGATGGCTTGGTGGTCCAGGGTGTTGCTGGGGGCATCCATGTATCTCCACTTGCCTTTAACAGTTAAGAGGGCCAATCTGCAGAGAGAGGCTCAGAGCCGAGAGGTCCCAGCGGGAGACACAGCAGCCCCGCTCTGGCACCCATGTCCACTGAGACTGAGCTGTCCCACCTGCTCCTGGGTCCTGTAGGTCCTCTGGCCTCTCCTGGTAAGTCCCTCCTTTTCTGGAAGGTTATTATTTCTAGGAGGTTTCTTGGAAGTCTGGAAACTAAAAGGACTCTGGCATGTTGAAGGTTATGAGTCCGAGTCAAGGTGGGTGCATGAAGGTCAAGGGTCACAGACCTGAGAAGACCACTTCCCTTCTTTCCCCTGCTCAACTGCTAGCCCAGCCAGGAGATCTGAGTTTCAACCCCATCCACTCTGAGAAGGGGCAAAGGGGAAAAGGCAGGTCTGGACAGTGATGGAATAGGCAAAATCCCGAGACCCACCTATGGTCACCTCCAGGCTCCCCCCATCATTCTTGGTCCCGGTTCCTGTGATGAAACCTCAACGGTCTCTCCAGAGAGCTGACAAGGTGAACCCTCCTCACAGGGTGGGAAAGAGCAATAACAAAGGTAAAGTGTGTGTTCGATTGCAGTGGGCATGGCTGAACGCGCAGTGAGAGCCCTGGATTTCTGGCAGATCTGGAAGCTGGGAGGGGAGGCACAAAAGGGGCACAGTTCAGAGTGCTGTCAGGGTAGGGGTCTGACGGAGGAAAGGCGGCAGGGTCAGGGTCTACGGGTCAGGAGTCAGAGGAGGGCAGGTCCTGTAGGAAAGCCAGCCGGCTTGAGGCAGCACTAGAGACGAGCTCTGATGTCTTGGCCGTGGCCGGCTTTGCCTGGGTCCTTGCAGCGACTTGGGGTGCCCTGCACGTGCTCACCACCAGCAAGCAGATCTGCCCTTGGGGTGGAGTGTAGCCCTGTGAAGACAGACCCAATGGTGGAGGCTCGGGAATGTGGACTCCTGAGGTCGGATGGGTTCAGGTGAGAGGCTGGGGGACTGCAGAGGGAATTCCAACAGGAGAGGGTGGCAAGGAGTGGTATGTCTATAGATTTAGCAAGAGCTTTGAGACAAACAGAAGCAGGCCTCAATCCTGGCTGTATACTTGCATCTGTGTGACCCTGGGCAAATCCCTTGCCCTCTCTGAGCCTCAGATTCTTATTTTTTAAATGAGGGTAATAGTATGTGCCTCCCAGGGTTTGTGGTGGGGGTTGAATGAGCTAATGCACACAAAACACTAAGTACACAGTAACTTAACTCAGTCGTGGTGTGGTTGTTATTATTATAACAATTCTTACAAGACACAAAGACCAGGCAGACAGTTGGTACTGAAAGGGTTGAGTAGCAGAAAGAAGGCCCAGCCCCTGGTGAAAAGGCTCAATCCAGGTCCCCTTTGAAGAGTCTGAGGTTGGGGGCAGGCCTGAAGCCCAGGAGATAGGGCAGAAGCTGCACCCAATGAACGGAATCCTGAGAAACAGGCTAGCCAAGCAGGAGGCTGGACTGGTGTTATAACCCTATGTGATAGGCTGAAGTGCTTTAAATCCCTTCTACCTCTGGTCAGGATTGGTTGAGAGTCTTGGTGGGTGGGACTAGTAGGAGGGGCTGCAGAGAGCAGGTGCAGGGCTGGGAGGGGTTCAGAGATGAGCAGGGTAAGGGGCTCACAGCTTAGCTGGGGAGACGGGGTGAGCATGAGTGAAATGCTAGATGCAGGCAGTGTGTGCTCAGACTTGAACAATTGAGAAATGGGGTTAGAGGAGGTTGGAGGGGTAAGAGCTATGAGGGCTGGCATGGTCTGCTTTTAGGGAGAGGGTGTGGCTTGAATGAGGTTTTAAAGGATGGTTAGATAGGCAGAGTGGAAGGGGAACAGTGAGAGTAAGGGCATCGAGGCAGGAAAGCATGTGTCTTGCCTAGAAGACAGAAAGGGCCCAGCTGGTCTGGAGTGGAGATATTCTTTGTCCGGGAGAGGAAAGATTGAGACTGGAAGGTCAATCCATAGAGAGCCTTGAATGCCAGCTCGTGGGCAGGGACTATGTCCAGTTGGCAGTGGGGAGCCACTGAAGATTCTTGAGCGGGGGAGTGACGTGTGTTCTAACTGGATGGCTGAGCTTGAGCCAGGCTGGGAAGGCGTTGGGAGGGAGAGCATGTGGTGAGAATCAAAAGAGGAAGGGTCTTGATTCCAAGGTCACTTAAGACTGAAGAAAGGCTCCTTGATCCCTTGGGTGGAGGTGTGTGGCGTTACACAGAGAATACCCCTTCAGGGGCCTAGATGCCTTGCCTTGAAAGAGGTCTCAGTGATCAGTGGGCAGACCTGCCCTCCCAGCTCTTCTGTGGGATCGAGGGCAATCCCTTCATCCCTCTGATCCTCAGTTTTCTCATCTGTGAATTGGGCATGATTTAACCTATCTCCAAGGATGCGTGCGAGGATTAATGAGAGAAGGGGGAAAGGGTCTAGCCCAGTGTTTTGAGCATATACGTGCTCAACAGATGGTGTTCCCTCCCCATCTCCCACTGTGCGTCTGGCACAGAGCTGGACACAAAGTCTGGCCCTCCAGTCACCACCAACTAGATAGAGCTTCTGCTTTCAGAGCTCATTCATTCATTCATTGTTCAGTCATTCAAGCAGCGTTCAAGCAATATTTCTGAGCACCTACTATGTGCCAGTCGCTGGGACACAGATTTGAATTAGACCACTGTCCCTTGGCCTTGAAAAGTTTATTTACTCATTCATTCAGCAATATCCGTGGAGCCCTACTGTGTGTTTTGGCCAGGTGGGGGCTGGTGTTGGGGGTAAAGAGAGCGTGGCTGGCAGGGGAGGGGGTAAATTGGACCCACAGGTCACACCTCTGCATCTGGGAAGAGCAGGAACCCGGTGAAAATGCTGTTGGCCCCATCGATGCCTACCAGGGCGTTCTTGTCGGTGGCCTGCAGGAAGACGGTCTCCCCCAGCCCCAGCTTGAGCACGACGCTGCCCATGGTGACCTGGAAGGTGTTGTGGACATAGTCGCAGAAGGTGAGCACCTTCTGTGTCTCCTCCCGGCCCCGCATGAGGTTTACGCACAGGTTCCCTCGAGAGCTGGCATGGTAGGTGAAGTAGTAGAGGCCAGGCACCCTGCACGTGAACTTGCCGTTTCGATACTCGTAGTTGTTGTTGGTGTTGGTGATCACGTGGTCGAAGCGGATGACCTGGTCCCGCCTCAGGGGGCTGTTGATGGTGCGTGTGGCTGAGAAGGCGATTTTCTGCGTGGCCTTGTAGTCTCCTGAGTCGCCCTTGGGGCCCTGGGCTCCGGGAGGCCCTGGGGCACCTTTGGGGCCAACGGGGCCCTTGGGGCCGACTTTTCCTGGAATCCCAGGAAACCCTGGGTCCCCCTTCTCTCCAAGCTCACCGTGGTCTCCAGCTAGCCCCGGCAGCCCTGGAAGGCAGAGACAAGAGATATGAGGGGGCCAGAGATCGCTGAGAACCCGGAAGGAGCTGGGCTGGGAGGCAGGGAGCCTGGCTGCATAACCTCAGACAGGTCCCCGCTTTTCTCTGGGCCTCATCTCCCCATGTGTGAACAAGAGGACGGGATGTCGGGGAGGGCCCCCGAGTCTCCTTCCAGCCCAGCTTTCTGAGTCTGAGACGTGCTTGACAGTAATGGGGACCGATGCCCGTGGGTTGGGGAGTGGCGTCTCCCTCAGGAAGGTGCTGGACCTGCCCTCCTCGCCAGCTCATACAGGCTTAAGCCTGGAGCAGGGATCAGGAATTCTGGGCACATGTGCTATCCCTCTCCACCCCCTCCCTGATGGCCCATATCCCTCATCAATCACACATTCTTTCTTGCTGAAGCTGGAAGTGAGTATTAGAATCCTTCTCACTCCACCACTCCAAGCAGCTACTCCTCCTTGGTTTGGCAGAACACAAGATAAAACCTTTTCCAGTAGCGTGGCAGAGTATAGTGGCTGTGAACAGGGGCTCAGGGGACAGGCAGATGTGTTTCTCATGTCACATCTGCCATTATTAGTTGGGTCACCTTGACTGAGTCACATTCTCCAAGGCTCAGCTTCCTCATCTGTAAAATGGGGATATTTTGTGGGATTGTGAGATTATGTGAAGAGAGCGGAAGGCTATGGTTAAATGAACACATGAACTACATCTTACAGGAGGGTTTTATGGCAGGAAGTCTCATTTGAACCCTGTGACAACTCTGACAAAGAATCATTATCCACATTTTACAGGTGAGGAAATAGCAATTCAGAGAGGCAAAGCCACCTACCCTGGAGGTAACAACCCAGGACTGTGTGACTGCAGTGGATTTAGTGGTAAGAGAGCCATGGTTTGGCCTCAGCCTCAACATTTACTGGGTTCCCTTGAGCAAGTCAGTAGCCTTTCGGACATCAGTCTTCCCATCTGTAAAATGGGAATCAGAATTCCTTCCTTGCAAAGTTATTGTGGAGGGCTCAGCAAGCTGATGGATTTGCAAGTGTTTTGCAATCCCTAAGGTGGGCAACTGGGACTTGGGAGGTAGGAGATGGGGCCTTGGTCAGTGACACTAGTCTGTTCCCAAAGTCCACAGTACCTTTCTCTCCCTTTATCCCTGGAGTCCCTGGTTTGCCGTCGGAGCCCGGTGCCCCGGGGATGCCCGGGATGCCAGGGATGGCCGGGTGCCCAATGCAGCCACTCTGGGCCCGGGAGACGTGCAGCAGACTCAGGAGCACCAGCGGCAGCAGCACTGGGACGCTGCCCCGCGGGGTCTTCATCATGGCCCTGCTCAGCTGCTTCCTGTGTGTGTGGCGGCGGGGGACAAGAAGATGTGGTAGGTTACGGCCACGGTTTGTTCATTCATTCCTTCACTTGTTCCTGTGTTCACTGAGTGCCTTATCCCCCGGACCCTGTTCTGGGCGCTGGAGATTCGCTGATGAACAAGACAGATGTGGTCCCTGCCCTCATGGAGCTGACAGTCTGGGAGACGATAAACAGGTCAACATACAAGTCAATAGAACTAGTTATAGGCCGTGGTGAGTGCCCTGGCTGAAATGAAAGGCTCCCTGGAGGGCTGGTTTTGTGAGGGAAGTCCTCCCACCAGGAAAGTCTATAGACATTCCCACCAGGAAAGTTTTTTTTTTTTTTTTTTGTGGTACGCGGGCCTCTCACTGTTGCGGCCTCTCCCGTTGCGGAGCACAGGCTCCGGACACGCAGACCCAGCAGCCATGGCTCACGGGCCTAGCCGCTCCAAGGCACGTGGGATCCTCCCGGACCGGGGCACGAACCCGTGTCCCCTGCATCGGCAGGCGGACTCTCAACCACTGTGCCACAGGGAAGCCCGAACCAAGAAAGTGTTTTTATACAAGGGAGGCATCTCTGAGACGTGATGTTTAGACCGAGACCTGAAGGTTCAGACAGAGCTGGGGCAAGAATGTTCCAGGAGGAAAGGACAGGGAGGGCAAAGGGCCAGAGGCAGCACAGAGTCAGAAATGTCGAGGACCAGCAGGGAGGCCAGTGTAGCCAGAGGGGAGTCAGGGGTCGGAGGACCGGACGTCGGGGTCTTGATAGCTGTGGTTTGGGATTTTATTCCAAGTGTTCTCAGTCATTAGAACTTCTGAATTCGGGCTGCCTATGCTGCTTCCACAGCGGGCCACGTTACATCCTCAGAGCAGCCCTGCATGGAAGAACCAATTTTTCTACACCGAAGAGGAGACTGAGGTTCAGGGAGGCCAAGTCACTTGCTCAGGGTAACACAGGAAGGACTGCAGCCAGGACTCAAACCCAGGCCTGTGTGGCATGGAAGCCAGTGTCCCTGCCAGCGCACCAGGCCACCTCTTCTGGCAGAATATTCTCAGGTCCCTCCAAAGGCTGTGGGCCCCGGTGAGAGGACGATGCTTGCCCCTTCCTAATCTGGGGAACGAGGAAGAAGCCCTGGGCTGTCTTGAGCTGGTCAGCATGGCCAGTGCCCATGGCATCGATTCTCAGGACAGAAGGGACCTTAAAATTCATCTAGTCCAGCCCTTAGCTGCTTCTTTCTTTCTTTTTTAAATCGAGGTGACATTCACATAGCACAAGCGTCACCATTTTAAAGTGAACATTTCAGTGACCTTTAGCACACTCACAATGCTGTACAACCGCCACTTCTCTCTAGTTCCAAACTATTTCCATCACTTCAATAACACCCCAATAATATTCTGTACTCATTAAGTAGTTACCCCCAAATCCCACTTCCCCCCTCAGTCCCTGACAACCGCCAATCAGCTTTATGACTCTACGGACTTACCTATTCGGGATATTTCGTATAAGTGGAATTACATACACTGTGTGAACTTCTGTGTCTGGCTGATTTCATTGCATAATGTTTCTGAGGTTCGTCTACATTGTAGCATGGATCAGTACTTCATTCCTCCTTATGGCTTAATAATATTCCATTGTATGGACATATCACAATTTGTTTATCCATTCATTATTATTATTTTTTTTTGCGGTACGTGGGCCTCTCACTGTTGTGGCCTCTCCCGTTGCGGAGCACAGGCTCCGGACGTGCAGGATCAGCGGCCATGGCTCACGGGCCCAGCCGCTCCACGGCATGTGGGATCTTCCCGGACCGGGGCACGAACCCGTGTCCCCTGCATCGGCAGGACTCTCAACCACTGCGCCACCAGGGAAGCCCTATCCATTCATCATTGTTGGGCATTTGGGAAGTTTCCACCTTCTGCCGACTGTGACTAGTGCTAATGTGAACATTCATGTACAAGGATTTGTTTGAAACTTGTTTTCAGTTCTTGAGTATATACTCAGGAGTGGAATTACTGGGTCTTATGGTAATTCTGTGTTTAACTTCTTGAGGGAGCCTCAGCCTACTGTTAAGTCTCCTCAATAACATCTCTGCCAAGGCTCCTTCCGTCCATGACTTGTACCATCTCAGTGATGGGAAGCTCATTACCTTCTGAGGCAGCCCATTCCACCTCTGCCCAGATGCAAATTCTCTCCATCTTTCCAGGCCCAGGTCAGGGCGTTTTTCCTCCAGGAAGCCTTCCCTCATAGCCCCTCAGCCCACCAAGTCTGAGCAGTTTCCTGCTCTTAAAATAGAAGAGCATAGAGGTCCCTGCTCTTCTCCCAAGATAACCGTGGGGAGCCAGGTGAGGCCATGGCTGGGGAAGAACCATAGGGCTTTGGGCTCTAGCTCAGACCCGTAGCTGGGGTTGTCTGATGCTCACAGCACTCCAGGGAAGTGGGTTGAGATTATTTTCCCACCTTGCCGATGAGGAAACTGAGATGAAACATTAGAAAACAGCCCTCCCCAGATCACCCAGTGAGCTGGCTGATGGTGGGGCTGTGGCCAGACCCCTGCCCCCTCTGCCTCGTGAGGCCTGTGCCAGCCCAGAAAAACCTGCTGATGTGGGGCTCATGTGCTCAGAAAGTCAGCCCCAGCCCCCTTGGTCTCCTAATCAGTTCATGGCTCAGACCAGGAGCTGAATTAGACCAGGGGCTGTACCGGGTAACAAGGAAAGGGGGGCTGCAAATGTGGGTGCGACCAGGGCCACGAGTGACCGGCTTAGGCTCTGTCACGCTCCCAAGAGAGGGTGGCTCTGGGGACGATCCTGCTTATCTGGCTGGAGGTTTTGCACAATGACAATTTGACACCCTGAATAATCAATGTGTCGGGCGCTTAGCAGGTGCCAGGCTCTGTGCCAAACACTTCACGGGCCACATTCTCTCATTTAATTTGGTCCTTACAGCAGCCCTCTGGGAAAGCACCCCTGCTTTCTCATTTCACAGACGAAGAAACTGGGCAGTGGAGAGGGCGGGAACCTCGATCAAGGTCACGCAGCCCCGCTGTGGCTGAGATTCAAACCCGCTCCCCATTCAAACCCATCCAAACACCACGGGATGTTACATCAAGAGGCCTCCCTACCTGGTGGTTAAAACATGGGCTTTGGAGCCAGACAGCCTGACAGAAGGAGCTACAGCCTGGGTTGTACTTAGAGCAGTGCTGGTTGTGGGCTGGTGCGTGGTGATGGCTTGGTGATGGCTTTTATCATTACTATTATTGTTGCTGTTGTTTGGCAGCAAACATTCACCAAAGGTGAGAGGGCTGGAGTGTCATAAGGAAAGGGACACTGCCAGGGTCCAAACCAGGCCTGTGCCCCTTCTTAGCTATGGGCCTTAGGCCAGTTGCTTCTCTCCGACCACAGCTTCCCCTTCTGTAAAAGGGAGATAATAGTAATCTCTACCTCACAGCGTTGGCGGCAGGACAGATGCGTTAGGGCTCACGACAGCCCGACATGTTGGAAGTGCTTAGTGAATATTAGCTAGTTTTTTTATTATCACTATCATCTGAGAGTCCCCAGGTTTCAGGACACAACGGAGGATGCTTGGAAAAGTAAAAAAGAATCTGGTCCCTTTGGGAGATTGGGCTCAGGGAGAGGAGGTCTCTCAGGTGCAGGCAGCGCAGGGGTGGGGAGCCCTGGCCACCTGCCGGGGGGTGGGGGGTTGAGGGGAGCAGGGTCCTGACCCATGATGAGACTTGGGCTTTTTCGGGGGAGCCGGAGGTGGGGGGGGTTAGTGGGGAGATCTGGGTTCTGGCCCATTTCAGGGGCCAGCGAGTCTCAGACTTGGGCGAGGACTCAAAGCTCATCCGGTGACAACCCCCTGCCTTTACCGCCTGTCACCGCCGTCAGCCTGGCTCCTCACACGTTCCCCATATCAGCCGCCCTTCCATCTCCTTCCAGCCCCAAGAGCCCCTTTCCCCCTGACTTGGAGTCAGGCCAACTTGACCTTGAACTCCCGCTCTGCTGCTGCCTCGCTGCAGGACTTCAGGCAAGTGCCTTAACCTCTCTCTGAGCCTTTGGCAAAGTTAATTTCAACCTGACAGAGCTGCCAGAGGATTACACGCGAGGGAACCTAGAAGGAGCCAGGTCCCTAGTGCAGTGCCCGACCCCACACCCTCCTTCACAAGCCTTACTGAGCGGTATCAGTACTGACTAACAACTCATCACAACTCCGCCTGCAAGTCAAATCATTTCCTTGAAAGAGTCAAGCTGAGCTTTCTCATCTGACTGTGAGGAAATAAGAGAAGGCGGGTGCTGGAGAAATGCTGGGCTGAGCAGAGGGGAACCTGGGTTCTAATTGCATCCCTGCCTCTGACATATCTTGCACCAGGTAGTGTGCTAAGCGCTGGCTGAGCTGGTATATCCTTTAGGGCTCACAGCAGCCCTGAAAGGTTCTGATATCCCCGGAGAGGGTCCAGGCTGAGAGGGGTCATGTGGCTTGGCCCAGATCACCAGCACCTGAGAGACAGAAGCAGGGCTCAGCTCCAGTCTTGGTGACCCCAAAGCCTTTATCCTGGCGCCTCCCCATTACCTGGGACCCCAGGTAGCAGCAGACTCCCAAGCTGACCCCCAGAGAGTTTGACTCCCGAGGTCTGAGCTTGGGCCCAGGAATCCTCACTGTCAGACACTCCAGGTGGCTCTGAGGCAGGGGTTGCAGGGCCTATACTTTGGGAATCACCACCCTCTACCATATTGGTCCTGCCCGCCAGTCCCCCCAGGTGCCAAGCCCCATCCTCACCTGGGAACCTGGCGTCCTCTGATGCCGCTGGGCTGGGCAGCAGTGGGACAGGCAGCTGGGAGCCTCCTGTTCTCAGTCCAAAGCGGAAGTTCCATTCTCCAGCGAGAACAAGGGCCTTCCCCTGACGGTCCCCTCCCAGGGGCCCAGCAGGCCGGCCCCCCTCCCTGTCACCCCGCTCTCACCCTGTTCTGCTGTCCTCAGGCAGTTTCAGGTCCCGTTTCCGCAATCTGGAGGGATTTACTGTAAGTAGGACGGGTGGGTGCCAGTTTGGTTTTGCCAGCTCAGCAGCTGTGGGGGAACCGGGCTGTTCCGGGAGAACGTCCACAACCAGGGGCTTGCCTGCCAAGGCCCCTGACCTCATGCATTTCTTCAGGAACATGGGTGTTCCTCAATGAAATGGAAACATGGCTGCCCTGGTGCCCGAGGGCTGGATTTGGAGTCAGGAACCTTGATTCGTATGCTGGCTCTGCCACTTACCAACTAAACATTCTCAGCCAAGGGAAGCCCAGGGAGCCCCCATTTCCTCTGCCATATGGTGGGACCATAATTGCACTTGCTCTACAGATTGCACTGGGGGGCTCAGATGGGATAGTGGAGAAAGAGGAGGGTAAACTGTAAAGTGCAGTGCACATGTTAATTGTTAATATCATACCATGTCCCAGGCCTCCCCTTTCTGGGCTCATCTTCTGCTTTCTTTCCCTTCTACACCCCGGCTCTTTCCCTGTTCTCAGAAAATAATCTAATAATGAAAAATGAATTTTAAATGTGGTCATGATTTGCTTATACCCCTTCCTCTACTTCCAGCAGACCTGTGGCTGAAGACTGTAATTGGCACAGCCAGGAGCCTGTTGCTTGTTGATCCTGGCATCACAGCAAGTTAGGACAGGAGAGGGGCTTGCAGGTCACCCAGCCCGTGCCGCTCATTTTATATATGGGGAAACCAAGGCCCAGAGGGGAGAGAGCACTGTTCAGCAAATATTTATCGTGAGCCGCTATGTACTCCAGCGATAGAGCCACAAGCCAATCAGCCCTGGGTCCTGCCCCGTGGGGTGTCTCTTCTCCCGGGGGAGACTGGTATTACACATCAAGTGACACAGTGGTTTCATTGCTCCTGTGATGAATGGCACAAGAAGTAGCTGCTGGAGCCCACACCTCTCACTAGTGGCAGATGCAGGACTTGGAGTCGGGCATCCCTGGCACCGGGATAGCAGCCCTCTTACCGAGGCTGTGTCTGAAGCAACGTGATGCCCCTCTCAGGGATGGTTGCCCAGCAAGTCCCAGGAGCTGCCGTAGGTCAGGAGGGCTCTCTTGATATCTGTGCTTAGAGAGAGAAAATCGTTGGGCTTGTGGATGCTTCTTGGCAGAAATTAAGTGTTTACTGCCGAGGGTGATAGGGAAAGAAGAGACTCGTGTGATAAAACCCAAGGGTCTCTGGGTTCAGCCAACTATAGACCCTCCAATGATTTGGTGGCTGGTAAAAATGGGAAAAGATGGGCTTGAATTTGGGGTAGAAACAGGATGAGCCTAAGAACAGGAAGCAGCAGGGTTGGGGGGGGGTCAGGGCATGGGCTTTGGAATCAGCCCCTCCTAAGTTTTTTTTTTTGTTTTTTTTTTTTGCGGTACGCGGGCCTCTCACTGTCGTGGCCTCTCCCGTTGCGGAGCACAGGCTCCGGACGCGCAGGCTCAGTGGCCATGGCTCACGGGCCCAGCCGTTCCGTGGCATGTGGGATCTTCCCGGACTGGGGCACGAACCCGCGTCCCCTGCATCGGCAGGCGGACTCTCAACCACTGTGCCACCAGGGAAGCCCCTCTCCTAAGTTTGAATCCCAGGCCGACCTCTTTCTAGCTATGTGGCCTCAGGTGTGTTTATTGACCTCAGTTTCCCCGTATATGAGTCAGGGGCATGGGCACCCCCTCCTGGGGTGATTGTGGGGTCAGTGAGGTAACCCTGCATGTCCAGGGCCTAGCTGAGTGCCCAGCCCTGAATAGGCACCCAAGACAAACCTGGGAGTCGTGTGATTTCTCTGAAGAGAAGACAGAAATCTTGGAGCCTGGAGGCACAGGAGCCATGCCTGGATTAGGGGTCAGGAGCTAGGGAGACCCTTGGCCCCTGAGTGAGAGCCAGCTGGTCTCTGTTCCCTTAAAACGCTGGCTTGCAACCCTGATAGAGAGGGGACAATCCCTACAGAGGGTGGAAGAGAAGCCTAAGACCCTTGCACATCCCGTGGTGTGAAAGAGGCCCCCCGGTCCTTGGGTTGCCTCGTACTAGCTCCTGTCCCACCCTTGCTACCTGCCTTAAAAGCCCTCCCCCAGCTCCCCTCGGCCAAGCAGACAAGCTGGCATTTTCAAAGGCCTGTCTCTCCTGGCAAAGAGAGAACAACAAGGAAACAATTATGGAAAAGAAAAATGGTCGTTTCCGAAATACAGGTTTCTGGTCTGACACCGTGGCCTACATAAACGGTGCACTGATTTTTTAAACAAAAGAGAAATGAGAAGAAAGATGTGTCACTTGCGGCATTGCCGGGTGGGCTGCTAAGTAGCTGCTGGAGGTGAGCTGTGAGTGGAGCGGCCCCGTGACCCCCGCCTTGTCCCTGCCAGAGGCTCTCAGACTCTGTGGACCAGGCCGAGTTCCTAGGCCCTGGCCTCTGTTATTGCTGTGTGTGTGTGTGTGTGTGTGTGTGTGTGTGTGTGTGTGTCTTCATCTCTCCTTCCTTCTCATCTGACACATTTCCCAGGCCCCTACTATGCGTCTGGCCTGTATCAAAGGGGCCCCGCCCTCAAGGATGCTCACAGTCCAGTGAGGGATGCAGACCTGTAAGGAAATAAGTGCAGAAAAGCCAGGTGGTGGACCTCGTACATTGACTTCACCTGGCAGACCGTCCACCCACCCATGTCTCTGTCCTCCCCAAACCCTTCTTTTTTTGTATGATCATATTTATTTGTGAAATCCCGAAAAAAATGATTAAACTCACAGAAAAAGAATCATGCATCATGCTTGTGGCTCCCAGCAGCAGAAAATTGGTGGGAGGAAATACAGGATAAAGGTTGTTCAAAGGTACAAACTTCCAGTTATAAGATAAATAAATACAAAACAGGTAATGTACAACAAAAACTCATACGCCACAATAGCAAATAATCAAACTATAATATAGACTAAGGAACTGAATCGACATTTATCCAAAGAAGATATACAAATGACCAATAGATACCTGACAGGTTACTCACCGTTACAAAAGATGGAATGTACAAGAAGACCAAAATTAGCACAGCTGTAGGATACTATCAAAGTTGTTTAGGCAGTAAATCCTATTCATCACAAGAAGAAAAAGGTTTTTTTGGTAACCATTTCATAATATAGGTAAGTCATATCATTACACTTCAAAATTTGATATCATAAAACAAGAAAAACATTTAAAAGGTAAAATCTAAAAGTGCAAAATTATCGAAGAGGACAAACTACTACTGTTTTACCTTTAGAATTATTTTATTAAATCTTAAATGTACAACAGCTTCTTAACTCTACACACGAAATCGATTTTTTTAGAAGAATGATGTTATGTCTTATTACACCATGATTCTGGCTAATAGTCTTTCAAAACTTTGAGAAAAATCTTGAAAACGGTTTCACACGTCACCCAAAACTTTGAAATTTGACATTATCAAAGAAGGGATTCTTCCACACTTTTATAGAGACCACTGGAAAGACACAACAATTCAAAAGCTAAGAAACTGTTTCAAAAGCATTTTTTATAGTCTTTCCTCCACAGGAAGGTAATGTTCTTACATAATTGAGTCCACTCACAAAATGGCTCTGTGTACCTGCTCTGGTGTCTTCTCCCATATCCCTGCATGACTGAGATAAGAGTTTCCTGAACACTGTTATTTCGATAACCTAAAGCTCTTCTGTTACCTCTGGGCTCTAATTCTCTATTTATACAGTCAAGCCCATGGCAAATAAGAAGCTCAGTATCATCTTGTCTGTCCATAACCCCCACTTCCTCCATTGCCTCTTGGACCATAGCTTCCTCCACTGTATGATCCCCCCATGTTCCTGCTACCACTCAGTTTTCCACTCTTCAGTAATTCGTACTTGGAAGGTTTCTGCTTATAATCCTCCAAATCACTGTAATTTTTCTTTTAATTTTATTTATTTATTTTTGGCTGTGTTGGGTCTTCGTTGCTGCGTGCAGGCTTTCTCTAGTTGCTGCGAGCAGGGGCTACTCTCCATTGCGGAGCATGGGCTCTAGGCATGTAGGCTTCGGTAGTTGTGGTTTGCGGGCTCTAGAGCACAGGCTCAGCAGTTGTGACACAAGGACTCAGTTGCTCCGCAGCATGTGGGATCCTCCCAGACCAGGGCTCGAACCCATGTCCCCTGCATTGGCAGCCGGATTCTTAACCACTGTGCCACCAGGGAAGTCCCAATCACTGTAATTTTGATTTCCATAATTCCTCCTTCTATAGTTGTCATAACCAGCTCTGGAGCTCCCATCCTGGTAGCCATATCCACCACCATATCCTCCTCGCCCTCCTCCATGCCCAGGGCTACCCCCCAAATTGCCACCTCCAGGTCCTCCTCCAGACCCATGATAGCCATCCCCAAATGTATGTCCTCTTCCATATCCGTCAGATCCTCCTGTAAAGTTCCTTCCTCCAAAGTTTCCTGCTCCAAACTTTCCACCACCACCATGAAAATATACAAAACCAGCATTTCTTCCTCTTCCACTTCTAGAACATGGGCCTTCTTGCATTTCTTGTCTAGACAAGGCCTTTCTTACTTCTGCATGATGACCATTGACGGTATGATTTTTCTGCAACACAACCTTACCCACGGGATCATGGTCATCAAAAGCAACAAACCCAAAACCTCTTTTCTTGCCTGACTGCCCATCAGTAATTATTTCAACGGCATTGATTTTTCCATATTTCTCGAAGTAATCTCTAAGATGACGTTCCTCAGTATCTTCTGCAATTCCACCAACAAACAGCTTCTTCACAGTGACAAGAGCCCCCGGCTTTCCCTAGTCCTCTCCTGGGACAGCACGTTTGGGAGTAACCGTTTTCCCATCCGTGGAATGAGGTCTGGCAGCCATGACAGCATCAACCTCAGCCACGGACGAAAACATG